TGTGTGTGTGTGTGTGTGTGTGTGTGTGTGTGTGTGTGTGTGTGTATGTATGTATGTATGTGCGCACGTGCATGTGCACACGCACACAGACCAAAAGTCAATAACAGGGCTCTTCCTGTATTATTCTTTACCCAATGGGGGTGGGGTGGGGTTTGCTAGGATTTGAACCCAGGGCCTCATAGGTTGCTAGGCAAGCACTCTGCCACTGTACTACCTCCCAGCCCCACCTTAGTTTTCTGAGGTCTCTCACTGAGCTAGACTAGCTAGCCAGCAAACCCGGGAGATCCCCTGTATCCATGTCCCCTGCTCTGGGGTTATAGGCTTATACCACTACACCCATATTTTTTTATGTGACTGCTGGGGATCAAATTCAGGACCTCATGTTTACACTGCTGAGCCCTTGAGACACTGAGCCACTTCCCCAGCTCCTGGTTTGGTTTGATCGGTTTTCGAATCACAAAAGGACACTTGAAATAGAAGTGACTCAGAGGTTGAATTACAAACACCTGAACTTCAGGCTCCTAAACAAACAGCCAATTCACTGACTCTTCACAAGTTTTATCCTGTTTTAGGAAAAAAAAAAAAAAAAATCCTCCTCCCCAGACCAAGCTGAGTAAGGGCCTTTGACGCTTTGGGTGTGGGTTAGGGACCTCCCTCCTCTGGCCTCATATTCAAGGCATCAAGGGGTGTGATTTCCAGGAGAAATTCTTGGAAACAAGAGCTTGATTCTGCTTGTGGTTTTCCATAATCAATAAAGGCATTATAGAATTTTGAATAGCCTGAAATCAATAGATCATCCCCCTGGTTACGTTTCATATCTTGCAAGATATGAAAAATTAAGTAGTAACCAGCACAGCCCTTCAGACCTCATGGCCAGGAGGAGACAGCTTAGCCCTCTCTGGGTGGAGGCTTCTTTACCAGTTACAACCTGCTCCGGCTAGATGCCTTGAGCTCCTCTCAGAGGGTAGAACAAATCTGGTGGTAGAAAGCCAGAGTGGCACTGAGCTGGCTCCCTGGTCACTCTCCAGGGAACATGTGGCCAGTCACATTCTCCGATACGTGGTTTCTTTGTGTGTCAAGAGGTGTTGGACAGAGTTCATATTTTCCACCATCCAGACATGCTTAGTCCAAGAATGCGTGAGGGAGTTTGCTGGCTCAAGGGGTCTGAAGGGTCAGGAGCCCATAATCGTGAGAGCAGAGCAAACAGGAGTACCACAACAGACTGGACGCCGGCGAAGCAGAGTAGTTCCTCGTGTTCTTGGCCTGGAATGGAGAAGGACAGGGAGAAACACTTTGTCTTAGCTGAAGAACTGACTTCTCTTCTACTTTCTAAATATAACAGTCATGTCATTTAGTTTCCCTCTGGATTTCAAGGGGTCCCAGATTTGGTCTTCGATTATATTGTCCCAGAAGTAAGCCCTTGACCAAGGCTTCCAATACAAGTATTTTATGTTGGGGTTGATCCCAGAAAGCAGGAAGAAAGGCTTGGGGAAGTGAGAGAGGAAAACAAGGCAGGTTACCATGTAGGCAGCTGGAGTTTGGTCACTCTGATAACTCTAGGAACATTCTAGAATGGCTCAGGAGTCCAACCATGCAACAGAAATCTGAACTCTAATCTGCTTCCATGGGTGTTCTCTCCTTCTCTCTCCCTGGCACACATGCTTGCGTTGTGTGTGGTTAACCCCATGTTGAAGGCTGCACATGTTGGCAGTCAAATCTCTGACTTGAGATCTGAGATACTTATGTTCTGTTTTGGATATTCATATGCCCCCAGTTCCATATAGTTCTCCTTTTGATAGTAAGAGTTTTCACTGGGTATGGGAACACCTCACCAACGACTATATTTTCCAACATCCCTTGTGAGTCCAAGTCCATGGGGCCCAGTAACTAAGAGGGACAAGGAGACACACCTAGAAGAGATGTATATCACTTCCATGCCCCCTCCTGGTGGCAGAGGGGGATCACAGCTGTCCTTCTGCTCCAGAACTCACTTCCTAACTACAACATAAGAGAGAAATAAGCTCTCAGTGTCAGCACTCTGTTTTGGGTTCTTTGTTCTCCTCCTGTTCCCTAACCAACATGTTCCTCTCAGGACCGCTTGGCTTTGCTTTTGGCCTTACTGTATTACTCTTTCTGGATTATGTCCTTCCTGGAAAGAAACAAGTCACAAAGAGAGAAAAAGAAAGAAGAACAAATAAAGGCCTGTTGTTGATGTTTGCCTTGCCCATAGCTGCCAATCATTCTTAAATAATCCCTTTATTTGGGGAAGATTCTGACGATGATGAATAAAGCCAGACAGTAGTTCAAGTGAGGGAAACAGGTTTCAGTCAGTAACTTCAGACAACAGGAGAAAAAGCCGAGCTCCATTCCAGTTTTGCAGAGGTGACTGGGCATGTCGGAAAGGAGGATAGAGGGGTGGGGGAGGGAGTGACCGGGTTCTCAGAGGAGATTTTGCTGAGGGCTGCATAAGTGTGATTGGACCAGCTGTGTCCGCTGGCCAGCCACTATCAAAGGTAGGATTCTCTCCTCCCTGTCCATCGTGGTGTTACATTCTAAGGAATGGCTTTTGGGTCCTTGAGCAAAACACTCCTGGGTTGAAGGATACAGACACACACACACATATACCACACACAAAAAGAGATAGAAAACATTTCGATCGTTTTTAGTAAATGTTTTAAAAAAGGGAGTGCAGGGGCCTCTATCAGGTGTTAGAACAGATCATACTGTTTCCTTTTTGACCGTTCTGAGCTGTTCCATACAAAACGCTCAAAAGAAGACGGGGACAGGAAGAGCCGGGAGGATAACTCAGTCACTAAAGGCTGACCATAAAGCATGCAGACCTGAATTTGATACCCAGAACCCACAGGGACCTTAGTTTGATACCCAGAACCCACAGGGACCTGAGTTTGATACCCAGAACCCACAGGGACCTGAGTTTGATACCCAGAACACATGTTTTTCATTTTGTTGTTGCTGTTGCCTGTTTGTTTTTGTTTTTTTGTTTTGGTTTTTTTTTT